TTTGAGAAATTTGTCATTCATCATCCATAGTTGTGCCCCCAACCCCCAATTTTTCTCAAGGTACAAAAAATAACACGTTTTCACGCCCTTGATCTGTATTAATATGCAAATGTCTTGTCCAATTTTATACCACAATTTTATTACATTATATTTAAATTGAGACTCGTTCCTTAAAAAACTATAACGCACCAAATGTAACAGCGTTAGTTCTAAGAGTCTAATTGAGCGGAGTTACCGGGAATATTGTTTTGTGCGTTAATAGACTCACCATTAAACGGTACCTTCTTTCATCCTTAGAGAATTCTATCCATCCATCCATCCATCCATCCATCCATCCATCCATCCATCCATACACCCAACCACCTACCAACCAACCCAGCCACCCACCCAGCCTACCAGCCACCTACCTACCTACCTACCTACCTACCTACCTACCTACCTACCAACCTACCTACCTACCTACCTACCTACCCACCTACCTACCTAACCTACCTACCTACCTACCTACCAAACTACCTAACCAACCCCCCCACCAACCCGCCCACCCACTCGCCCGCCTGCCTGCCTGCCTGCCTACCTGCATGCCTGCCTACCTACCTACACACCTACCTACCTACCTACCCACCTACGCACCTACCAACCTACCTACCTACCAACGCACCTACCTACCCACCTACCTACCTACCTATCTACCTACCTACCTAATCTACTTACCTACCAATCTCCCTACATACCTATCTACCTATCTATCTATCTATCTATCTATCTATCTATCTATCTATCTATCTATCTATCTATCTATCTATCTATATATCTATATATCTATCTATCTATCTATCTATCTATCTATCTATCTATCTATCTATCTGTCTATCCATATACATGGCATCCTTTCGTCTTCGAGAGAGGATGGAGTAGCTATCTACACCTCATCAAGTGGCTAACTAGGCCCATCCTCGAATGGCAGTCACAGCTGTATTTCCTGCAGGACACCCTTGACTTCTGTTTAGATTTTGCCTCCGATAATGATGTTTAACAAACAAGACCTCCCCATTCTCACCCCTTGTCAACAGTTGTAACACGAAAGCATATACAATGCATTCATCACGGCTCCAATAGCTTGCACTGTTCAGATCATTCAATTCAAATTTTTGGTAACATATCACCAAATCTATCAAAAAATTTCTTACTATACTTGTTGTCCTCAAATTGTAATAATTACTTTACATTAGTATTGTTGTTAAAATTGTTTGACACTGAAGCTACATAGAGCTTTGTGAGAGGGAGTTTTTGGTTTAAAGGTCGTCTTTGTTTATGAGCAGAGACAGGGAGATCTACGTTGTCATCTTGGAACACTTAAGTTTATTTTTGTATCATCGTTAAATGCATTTTTTCTTGTCTTTTATTTGTCTGCCGAAGAAGACATTTAGCCGAAACATCCTCTTAATCTCTTTTTTTTTCAAGTCTTATCACGTCTAATCAGATTTTTGTTCATTTTATTGTCCATTTTGCATTTATAGTTTTATACGGGAGATTGTGCTCCACTCATTTAGATTCTCTAAACAATGATTGTTTATTTTTTTAAAATTATCTTTTAACTTAAGGAACGAAATGGCTACTGAAGTTTTATGCGAATAAAACCTACCTCAAAATTTTCACCAAATATTTTTTATCCCCTTCAAAAAAAAAAACAACAACAAAAAAACAAAACAAAAACAAAGGGTACTTACTTTTGAAATGAAGTAGCGATTGTAAAGGGGTTCAAATGTTTCTAAAGATACATTTGCAAATAATCTTAAATAAAATATCTGGAATCGTGTGTGTGTGGTCATTCATTTTTGCGGTCCATCCGCCATTCCCCAATGCTCCTCTGCCCTGTACGACTAAACACGGGTGCAAAGCTTTTCACAAACATTTATTCTCCCTTTCATTTGTAAATTTAATTCCTCCTCCTCCCCCCTCCCCTAAAACAAAGAGAAATAATAACACAAAAACGTAGCAATAATAACAAAATGTTATTACATTCTAATCACCTGATTTTCTGTTTCGGTGCCATACGCCTTCTTCAACATTTTGTGAGTTGGCTTTAGATTTTTCTTTCCAACCTGTGTTTGTTATAAACAAAACCTGTACATGTACTCTTATTAAATCGCGATTGCTATGTTACGTTTTTTGGATTGGTATAGTTTCGACCAAAGCTTTTCGAAAAACAAGTGCATTTTATACATTTTGTATTCCTTATTTAAACTATCCACTAAAAATAAATGATTTATAACATGATAACACACTATGTTGGATATATTATAACTAACATTTTATACTAATATATGTTCATATTTATTAGCGTAAAACATTTATATTAACTACATACCCAAACAAGATCTTAAACAGTCCATGCCTGATTCTTTAACATCAGCATGGTTAGCATTTCCTACAATTAAAAATAAAATGAAAAAATCAATTTATTAAATAATTTAAAAAAAACATAATGTTAAAGCAATCATTTATCACATCGAACTACTATATTACACTTGAAATTTAAGTTAACCT